GTGGCAAACAAGCAAAACTATGAGCAACTGTTTATAAGAGTGCGCACTCTTACAAACTGTTAATTTTTTTCTGTGCGGCATCCGCACATCTGTTAAAAAGAAAAATGTGCGCAGCATTTTGTTTCTGTGTGCTGCGCACAATCCGCACAAGCGAAAAATAATCACTGCACCTGATCTCAAAATCTGATTGGTTGATCTGCAGAATTTTTCGGGATGTTCTTGGGGTAGTTGAATTTATGGTGGCGATACAGGGGAAGATCATATATTAATGGTATGTTAAAAAATTAACTGTTTTTGTTTGTAATTAATTTATAACAATCACAAGATTAATGATTTGTTTTTAAAAGTAACTTATTATTTAACTGAAGCTTACTAATTTTTTAGTTTAAATAATAAATTAAAAAAAATTTTTATATCACCCGATTTTTATTAAATGACAAAATTATTTTTAGAATGACCAACAAAGATTATCACAAATAATCATTTTGTAAAACTAGATTATTAATTTTTTTTTTTAAAGTTAATTTGTGCACATAACTTTTACAAAATTAATTTAACCAAAGTACTATATTTCTAATTACATAATAATAGATTACCTAATATTGTACTAATTTACTCTTACTATTATTATTTATTTATAAATAAAAATTTCTATACATTTTATAAGTTATAATTTAAAGCAACGTTAAGGCGACAGCAATAATAGCCAAAGATAATCCAGCGAAATTAGAAATTGGGTGATTAAAATCGCCACTTGAAGCTGAAGCAGGTGTGGGGGCTTTAAGTGTTCCTGATGCGGTAGGTGATGAATTAGCTTTTGATGCGGGGGCGGAGTTTGCTGGAGAAGTTGGTTTGGATGCGGGAGGTACAGTAGGTGGTTGTGTAGCTACAGCATTACCAACGGCATTGGTGGCGGGACTGGAGCTGGTGGGAGTAGCACTGGCGGGTGCGGAATTGGCAGTGGTAGAATTTGCATTACAGACTGATGCAGGATCAAAATTGGAGCCAGATATTCCTTTGATAGTAAATAAAGCCGAATAAAAGACATTGCTTGAATTACTTGAATCAGTGTATTTAATGAAGCTAATAAAAATTATAAAGATTATAAAGATTATTAAATTAATCCAGATTAATTGAGATGACATTATGAATGTACGTATATACATACTAGCAAGTAGCCTCAGGACCTACGGTTTTGGGAACGGTATATGGTACCGATTGAGTAGTTGCACAATCTACTCCTTTAGCAATGTTTGCAACAAAAACTTGGCTTGTACCTTTATAAATTTAATAGATTTAATTAAGATTAGTATAAACCATTGAATATACCACATATACAAACATTGTTATATTAAAAAAATTTTAAACCCACCGGCAAATAAATCGCAGGTTACATTATGTAAAGTATTTATTAGAGGAGGTTTATTATCCTCATTAAACGTAATTGTCACTGCATCGCCACCATTCCAAACTGTGGTGCTAAAAGGATTAGTTGTATATATACCAGCATAAGATAGAGATGCGGAGAGAATAATGATGAAGAGGGTTCCAATCAACTTCATTTTGACTAAGGAATGTTATTAAAATGT